ATCTGGGGAAATCCAAATCCTTGACATTAAGTCATTCACATTGTCAACCCATCAGTCAATTAGTCAGTGAATAAGGCGATTCATCGTTCTGCGCGACAGCTAGCTGGTTGATACTTCGTCAATCCGTCAACCAATCTGTCAATTATTCGGTTGGTCGTTCCGGCAGCCAGCATTCAGGCAATCATCAAATCCATTACCAGTTCAATCCCATGTAGAAACTGACCTGGTTTAACATTCGTGTTCTATAACTGGCTGCTCAATGAGGTGAAATGTTTCGGTTGATACAACGGCGTACTAGTGATTATCAGAAACAGACCGGCTTAGGATGAGGTGCAAGAACAATGACTGGAGCAGGCAGCTATTCTTCGCAAGACCCTAACACACCATTTCAACCAAGTCATGGATCTATATTTGAAACGCTATTGCTCATACTGTGACTAACCTTGGATGACGGTGATGTCAACAATAGCTATCAATAACTACTTAAATTCTCGCAATTTCAACGCTGAGAGTTTGGCTGGCTGTGTCCCGTATCACCAGGAACGAAAAGAGAAGAATTTCAGAATCTGTTAAAATTCCTGCTTAGCTAACAAAATTTAGCCAATAAACTCGATCAGAATCTAACCGAATAATTCAATTTAGTTGAATGGGGATTTAAAACAAACTTCAACATGCGCTGACATGACGCAGTTGTCTCGGTTTTCACCAGTAAGAAAAGAAGTCGGTTCCTGTAGTTTAATAGAACGGGAGCTTGCTTCGCCTTACAGGCTTTTCAACATGATATATGAAATAACAAATTCGCAAATAAGTTAGACACCTATAGCACACAGCGGCCGTCTATCGAATACGAAATATATATTCCATGCGAAATCCGTGTAACTAGGAATACCTAAGGATAAAAGCTAAACAAAATGTTCTAGTGTTCTAGCAATTTAATTACTTTTGAAATGACGGAGCTTCAGGAGTCGCGGTTCGTGCCTCAGAGAACAGAAAATACGACAAAAAGATCTGTCATGTTTCCTTCAGGGTTTATTAATCACGACTGCCCTTAACCTTCCATCTGAAGTCCGTAATCTAAGGATTTGTCTTCTATACCGATTTCCTTATC